TCAGTGTGGGACACTCCCTTCAGACTAAAGAGATTCAGTTCCTCCAGCCTTTCAGTGTGGGACATTCCCTTCAGACTGAAGAGACTCAGTTCCTTCAGCCTGTCAGTGTGGGACACTTCCTTCAGACTAAAGAGACTCAGTTCCTTCAGACTGTCACTGTCAGATGCTCCCTACCACCAAGGAATGCATGTAGTTCCTCTTCCCTGGATTGACATCAGAAATATATTTTCTGCAGAAATCCAACTTGTACACATTATTTACAATTATATTGTCACGCATTCCACACGCTATCACAAGTGCCGTCACATACCCACCCACACCCACTCAGACACTCACACCACAACTAATCTTCCCATTGCCTTTCACTCCCATCACTACTTTAACCCTCCTCTTTTCCCTGACTATCACTCCCTCTTTCGGATTCTCCCTGGAGCTCCCTAGTGTGCACCCTCCTTCTTTAGCTTGTTCTCTTCCTTCCTTACATCCTGACTCCCGCGCGATTCTGAACATGTCTCTGCCTTTGCAATTTGGATTTGTTTTCTCGATTTAATTGCCCCAGCCTGGTTTTGATTTTCACCTGCCCGTTGGTTTTTTGATTATGAGGACTTGCGTTCTTGCAACATTGCAGCAGTGCGGGGAAATCACCAACGTGTGCCCCGCACAGGGTCCTTATTTTTATCATAACGATCGCTAACATATCTGATGAGGTCTTACAGGCATGTTATGAAATTTTCAAAAAACATTCCTAGGTTTAAATTCTATTATTTTAAATATGTATCACAACATGTTGTCTTTTTAACTGTTTCCACACATTGTCTTAGATATACCAATGATGGGTCAACAAATAACTCAGTCTGTTTCATAAGTAGGCTCTTTTCTAGGGAAACAAAAGTGAGTGAAAACCCAGCTCCTACATTCCAATACACTGATTAACTTTGAAGAGTTATGTATCATCTAAGACTGTTGTTTGAATAACATCAAATACACAACCACAGTTTACTTGTTATTCAGCAGGAGAGGAAGATTCAACAGAGATCAGGATCATGCTGCTGGGGAAGACTGGAGTGGGGAAGAGTGCAGCAGGAAACACCATCCTGGGGAGAGAGGAGTTCACATCTGAGCTCTCTCCCTCCACAGTAACACAGCAGTGTGAGAAAAGGACAGGAGAGGTGTCAGGGAGGAGTGTTGCTGTGATCGACACTCCAGGCCTGTTTGACACAGACCTTTCCAATGATGAAGTCATACGTGAGATCCTGACCTGTGTCTCTCTGTCCTCCCCGGGACCCCATGTGTTCCTGGTGGTCCTCCAGCTGGGCAGATTCACACAGGAGGTGAAGGACACAGTGGAGCTGATCCAGAAGACCTTTGGAGAGACAGCAGCACATTACACCATGGTGCTCTTCACACATGGGGATCTACTGGGGAGTCAGAGTATTGAGGGTTTTCTCAGTAAGAGTGATGATCTTAAGCAGTTTCTCAGTCACTGTGGGGATCGTTTTCATGTGTTTAACAATGAGAATCCAGGGGACCGCAGTCAGGTGACAGAGCTGCTGGAGAAGATAGACAGGATGGTGGTGAGGAATGGAGGAGGCTGTTTCACCAATGACCTGTATCTGAAGGCTGAGAGAGCGATCAGGGAGGAACAGGAGAGGATCCTGAGGGAGAGAGAGCCGGAGATCCGCAGACAGGAGAGGGAGCTGGAGAGGAGATACAGGGGAGAGGAGCTGGAGAAGAAGAAGAGAGAGATCTGGAGAGAAGAGAGGAAAAGGGCCCGAAAACAAGCAGAGAGAAACAACTCATTTCTGGGGAAACTGGGTATTGTGGCTGGTGCAGGAATAGGAGCAGCAGGGATAGGAGCAGCAGTGGGAATACTGGGGGGGCCAGTAGGAATGGCAGTAGGAGCAGCAGCAGGACTGGCTGTAGGGTTAGCAGCAGGAGCTGTGATAGTCATCAGAGAGAAAAAAGAAGCAGAGAAGTGCAGTGTGCAGTGAGAGGAGACAGAGACACAGATTCCCTATTATTATTTATCAAAGGGGAACTGCAGTACTAATTTCTCAGAAGGAGTATTAAATCTCGACCACAAAGGTTACAAAATTCAAACTGAGTGTAAAATCCTGAGCTCTGTGCAAGAACTGTATAGTTGCCAAGTTGTTGCAGACAGACGAGAAACTGCTGGTCAGACCACAGGCGAGAGCGAGAGTTTGTGTGAATTGTGACGTGAAAGCAGCCCTTCCTGCTCACTAGTCACTGTAGAGAAACATGGTCTCCTAACTACTGTATGTTAATTCTTTTTTGTGTTTTTAAACTCATGTATATATTTTAAACAATATCTCACTGTCAAGCAGTTGGCTGTTCAGAACATGACACACAAAACAGAGGACCAGATCAGCAGAAAGTCAGCCTGTTTCCTTTTCCAGGTGACACTCAGCTAGTCAGGAGATGGGTAATAAACATGAGCACTGACGTTGGTCCCATCGACAAGTTTCTCAACTTGATTCAGCGTGATGGACGGGCGAATAAGTACAGGGTGTGCAGGAGACATTTCACCCAGGAAATGTTCGAACGTGATCTGAATGCTGAGTAAACAAGTAGTATTTGCCAGTAAAACTACAGTAGTCTCGAAGTTGATATGTTGAATTGGTTACAGCTGAACTCATTCAAATCAGCTGTTCATTTAAATCGACTACGGCACAGCCACTCCTCCAAGAATATACATCCTGCTAGACTATTTCTTTTAGCTAAAGATTTGCCATAGAATAACCACCAGTGTAAAGGATAAAGCACTTCCGCAAAACTTGAAAATGTACAGGAGTGTGTCTTAGGTGGGTGGCAGGCTCTTCTTTAAAATACTTAGATAAAGTATCTAAAAACACATTGGCTTGGACATGTCGGTTTCATGAAAATATTTAAGAGTAATATAGCAGCAAAAGTTGTTTAGTCTAAACCATGTTTACAATTTAATAGGCCTACTCTCGCATCACCAGAAGTTCTGTTGTTTGGTTCTAAATCGCACACAATAGAACTACACACCCACTGAAACTTCATCTCTTTTGCGATACAAACTAGAGGTTGTACACATGAACACGCATAGTAATTTAATTGTGGTTTGAAATGCACTCATCACTGCCGATTCATTTTAACAACATTGTAGTTCTCCTTTAAATTGTAAAATACAAAATGTTTGCTTTTTTCTTGCAATTTAGTCATTTTTATATTTTGTAATTACCAGTTAATCTGACCTACGTGTTAAGAGCTTGGCATTAAAGGTGTTGTCAGCACATTACTAACCCAAGAATCAGCTGCACACAGAGGTTTTTCTGTTTTATTTCCGTTAAACATATTATACTTGCTTGCTGACTTGTTATCGAGCACCGAGATAAACCACAAGTAAACTGTGTTGGTGATATGGAGGACAATGGTTTTTATCACTGACAGCCTTTGAGTCTTTTTCTGTTTGTCTGAAACCATAAAATAAACCTCTTCCTGTCTCCACTGTGCCATCTCCTCACTGATTAACGCCATCAGAGGTCAAGTTTGTGTACAAGTTCATATTGAGCTTTCAAAGGAAAGACAGCAGCCTGACCCTCCCCAGTCTTGAGTGACTCTTGCACACGGCCAGCCTGCTGGCTCTCAGGAGCCCAGGGCTGTACTCGCTTGTTCCAGAGCAGATCTACCGGACGTCTGCGTGTCAGTGACATGCAGGAGACAGGAGCTCACAGCCAGTCCCCAGAGCTCCTCTCTGTGAAGAAAGCAGGGATGAATTAATGTTCCACTAGTGATCCACCTGTGAGTGTGGCAAAAGCAATGGTCCTGTGCCCAGGAGCAAGGGCAGGTGTTGAGTCATCTGGTTCGAATGGCTCCTGCGTCTCAGGGATTATATTCTAGATCAGTGGACCTGTACAAATACTCTGCTGGTTTACTTCCCATCTGAGCTCTGCATCTCCAGTGCTAACTGAGAACTTATTGCAAGAGTAGGGCTGCTAGGGCAATAGGATCCTATGCAGGACTCAAGACAAGAGAAAGACACCAAGCAGATACGCTAGGCAAAAACGAGAACCAGGAGGCAGGTGAGTAGGTCGGAACACGGAGAGACAACGAGGAAGCAACAATCCAAAAACACAAGGCGAAATCGAATCCAGGAAGCAGGCGAGTAGGTCAGGACACGGAAGTACAACCGAGGAAGCAGCAATCCAAATCACAAGGCGAAACCGAAAACGAGAAGCAGGCTAGGAGATCAAAAACCGAAGAAAAGCAAGAGATAACCGCGCACTAGGAAGCTCGAAGAGAATCTGCAATAGTGAGCGGGGAAGTGAGGAAAAGAGAGAACTAAAATAGAGACGGGAGAGAAAGGTGATTGGCGTTTACTTGCGGCGTGAGCTTGTTTTACAGGGTGTGCGCGTGGGAATGCAAGAAGGAAGAGAGGCGCGAGTGGAATGCGGAACACTTATTCGACCTGCTTGCAGGTTTAGACTTATTTAAGTTGTTTCTTCTGTTACTCCTGAGTGTGACAAATACCTGACTTCAGGGATATTGTTTCCACCACCTTCTGAGTGTTTGAAATACCCGTCTACAAGAGCACAGAGAGCTGCACACAGCCTGTCCTCAGCAGGAGTGACAGTCTCAGACACACTACATTGGGTCAGACATGCCTGTAAGACTGACACTTCTAGACACACCTGTAATTTTCTGTTGCAATAAACACA